AACAATTGCAAGTAATTAGAGAATGCAACACAAGACACATGAGGGCAGCAGAAATGCTGTGCTGCAACTGTCACTTGAAAGAGAGTAAAAGGAAGTCGCATATATCATGTCTTTGTACTGACTTGTAGCCATATTATAGCATAGAGCTCTGGTAGTATATGTATACTTCAACTCTGTTCAGGAGACCCATGTTAACCATGCGATTTTTCCCGTTCATTTAATCCTTTTGAGTAAGTGTTGAGGGGTGCTCATCCTTGCTCTGGGACAATATGTTATGGTTAGTGTTAAAGAGGATAATTTTTGTTGAGCCTCATTTTGAGTTTGTAGAAAGAGTGTGTGTCTGAGAGCTCAAGGAGAGAAAATGTGGATTTCTCTCCGTCATGCTTTGAGATTCAGGTTTTGCATCTTTTTGTTTTATGCAAAAGGTAACTGCGATTAGCACAGACAGTGGTGAAAAGGTAACGAGAGAAGTAGTTTAAGTATTAAAAATAGTATCGATTTTTTTTTCACATATACATATCCAAATTCGATTTCATTACAATTGTATGTTACGACATAATATCAATTGTCATGTTCTTGTAAAAGATTGCTTACTAGTAAGGCAGGTTGTGAACGATAGGGGGCAACTGTGGCTGTTTGGGTCATAATAAGGGGACTTGGGCGGGCTGGTCTGCGCAGCTTTAGCAGGCTGTAAAAATAGGAAAGATGGGGCGCTCAGACTAGGATATGAGGGAGAAATGGTAATTGATTGGGTAAACATGGGAGAAGAGCGGGGGGTTTATCGTGGATATTGGTAGATGAGATGGGAAGTTCAATGAGCATTTTGGTTCATGTAAAGAATGTAGAATGAAGGATCGAGTAAGTGTAGGAACATAGTTTCGGGTTGCTAGCTATGCATGACGCTGATGGAGGGGGCTGCATGTGGAAGGGGGAACAAAGGTGAAAAAGAATGAGGAGTTAGCGATTTTAAAATTACCTTCCACGATGCTTGAAACTTATCACTGTATAAGTCTATTGGCAAAAAATAATAAAAATATTGTTATTGTTATTTGGCACATACTGAAATTAATAATATTTTAAAACCTACTTTCACTTAAAAGGCCCATAACATATCGTGCATAAATATTTTATATAAAAGCAACCTTACAATTAACAATTCATAAGAAGGTTTATAATTTTTATACGAACAAAGGTTGCGGATAAATTCTTAATAGATTGGCATGCCCTGTGCGGGCGAAATAATAATAATAATAATAATAATAATAATAACAATAATAATAATAATAATAATAATAATAATAATAATAATAATAATATTTACTATTATTATAAAGAAGCTCGGATAAAACTTCAGAAAAAATCAGAGTACGGTATTGTTATAATAAATTAAAATATTTTTTCGGCATTCATGCTCAGAAGCTGGTATTATCATCATTATTAATTGATTAGAAAGTGTTACTTACACGTACCACAAAGTAGACTTCGCCGTATATTATAAACTACAGTACTGCAAAGTAATCAAAAACGAAGGCGGAATGAAACAAAAGGGCTGCCGCCAGGCACGTTGGTAATGATTCCGAGTGTATGTTTCAAATTTGTTGCGTCTTCGCAACATGACTGCGCCCTTGGGCAATAAGCGTGCCTGGAGTAATCCTCCTTGAGGTTTTGCCTCGTCAGATCGCAGTCGGTCAGTGCCTTGTATCTCTTCGGCCGGGGGATCGGCGCCGGAAATGACCGGGCTTCCCAGACTGTTACCCGTCTAGGAATCCGTGATGCCTCAAGTTGCTTAGCTTTCGTGACTTCAAGAAGTGTAGTCAAACAATTCGGCTAACGAACAGTAGTCGTAAGTTTTCATTAATGCGAACTAAATAATAAAGAATGAAACTCATTCGAAAGGGTATTTGGTGGTCATTTCAAAAACGGATGGTATCATCGGCTCGTCCGTCAACATTTCATTTGTACGCCAAAGACTCACTTCCTTTTTCTAGTTATGTAAACAGTAATAGTGCAGTCCATGCTCAGCTGGGCTGGTGCAACAGGTATGAATGGAACCTAATGAGGACCCCCCTCGTCCTCCACTAAAAATGGGAATCCTTTACAATTTTTTCAAAGAATGAAATAGTTAACATTTCTGTAACAAATTACACGTCAAACGGATATAAGGTTATTCTTTATTCTCGGTGTTATTGAAGGACAGTTGTAAAATAACAAAGAATTTAACCTACTGGTATTAGGCGAGTGGTTTAAAGACGAGATTTTCAGAACGCGTCTACTGCAGTGGCGGCTGCTCTTTACGGGCTCAAGGGCGGCGCCCTCCCCAGAGAAACCAACCTCGAGAAATGTTGCAGAAAGTATTAAACTTGCAATTAATCGACTCGTTTGGTCATACCAATTTTTGAGGCACAATTTACTTTTGTGGGTACGCTCAAGCGAAAAGATAAATGTTTTTAGAAAGATTCGCAATCGTGGACTTGAGCGAGTCCGTCCGGAACTGGTGCATGCGAGGCGATGGAAGCTTGAAGAATGGCGGGAATTGTTGACAGCGTGCTTAGGGTTTTGTTCAATAGAGTCCATGTCTATCAACTACGCTAAGAATACCAACTCTTTCACCTGATTTCATAAATTACTATTTTGTTTACTGGAAACATTTTTAAAAAATCTCTAATTTTCGCGTGAGCACTAAAGTATCTTTCGTTATCAGCGTAAAAGTTGTCTTAGGCAAGGATTAAAATCCGGATATGTGCAATTCGCTTGTACACTATTGTCCCAATAATATTTCTGTCTACTTGTCAGCTAGTGACTGACAGTGGAGGAGAGGGGGTCCCGTTATGCAATCAGAGGCTTAAAATTCTGATGTCACTCCAGAGGTACTGATTCTTAAATGAAATAAAGAAAAAAATCATACAGCGCAAAGCAACTGAAAATTTAAGAGCACCATTACTTCTTTGTGTCGTCTGCTGTTGCTCTTATTGCAATTTGTTTCTTGCTACTGCTGTAACCGTTGAAAATCTCATGCAAGAACAACCACGTGTCTGTCGCCCCAAATAAGTGCTTACATCGCACTACCCCACCCCAGCCGTCAAGTAGAGAGAAATACTAATCGGAAAATACATGTTATGATTTTTCTCGTTCACGAAATATTTCGAAGAGATAAAATGTATGTGATAGCCCGGACATACAAGCCGCCCCTCCTAATTCGCAACCCACCGGTCTACTGCGTCATTGTGTGTTTACACACTTAGCAGTTTGCTGAGTGACTCGTTCAGCCAGAGTCCATATTCTGAACATGAATTTGTAAAATTTTCGTTCGTAAACTACGCAAATAAATCTAGCAACATTACACAATGAATAAATGAT